ACACATGATCCATTGCTGCATCCACAAAAAAGCATAACCTTACATTCTGTGCTAATTAACCTGAAGTGATGATATCATCTAGTTCAATACGCACCGTCACAAAACATGGATAAAAACCCCTCACAAGCAAGCATCAAAGGTAGAGGATGGGGGTAGTCCACCTTTCTGCTAGAAAGTGCAAAACAAACAAGGTATAAAGGGTGTTAAAAGAGTAACTAATCTGCAGCTGAGTGATTTTTATAGCTTGCCAAAGGTCATGCTGTTGTATGGTCACAATCCTAGAGATACTTACTATGGAACAAGAACCACTCTCTGTAGTGGACCTTATAGCAAAATAAAGCACACACAGAGTCAATGTATTCATTTGCGTTTGTATTTGTTCAATTCAATTCATCTGTATTTGTTCAATTCAATTCATTTGTATTTGTTCAATTCTATTATACATAAGAATATTAGGAGATTTTTATTGTGTTTCCCCGAAAATAAGACCCTGTCTTATATTTTTTTGAACCCTGAAATAAGTGCTTGGCCTTATTTTCGGGGATGTTTTATTACTTGGGGTGAATGGAGCAAGATGGGCTCCTCTTGCCATCTTACCAGCTCTGTCTCCCTAACCCTAACCAGAGGAAATGGAGGGGACCAGCTGTGCATGCATTTAAATATTTTTGGGGAGGGCTTATTTTGGGGGGCTTATTTTAGTGCATGCGCTCAAAAACCCAATTGGGCTTATTATCAGGGGATGTCTTATTTTAGGGGAAACAGGTTAATATATTTTCCACATAATATATTAATCCATATAGAGTGACTTCAAGAAGACATCTGTACAGACGCACAAGATATTCATATCTAATATATGCCTGAATACATGCCTGATCAATGCACTGTCGCTCCGCATTGTTTCTTGAAAACCCACCATATTGCATAACCCTAACCCTCTCATTTTTAATATCTATTGATATGTTGAGGGAAAAGGATGTTTGGTGCTCTACGGAAAAGGGCACACTGCACTAGAGAGCCTTGCATTTATGATTTGCATTTCAGAAGGACCATTTATACTTTTTGTTTCTCTAGTTAATTACCTTGAAAGATAACCTGATAAACTGGAAATAAAAAAGGTGCTGCATTAGCTGGACCTTTCATCAGATCCAGCAGCATTCTTTGTACATTTTTCAACAAAGAGTCACCAAATTCTAACTAGTGCATATTTATTCATACATAGGTTATAAATACATGGAATTTTGAAGAAACAAGAATGACAAGACCTTTGGCCCAAAATGATCACACAGCAATAAAATACAAGAAAAAGGAAGGATAACAGAGGATTAAATACTGTATCTTGTCCCATCATTTCACAAAGGGGTAATGATCAGACAGGAGAGTATTAAAAAAAGGTCTTCCAAGAAAATGGCAAAAAAAGAAGTGACAATCTAAAATATAGGAGATAAAAAAGTATACCTCTACTTCATCTTATAAAACGTAAAGCTAATTCATTGTCAGTAGTAAACATGTGTTTAAAATCCCAAAAGGCTTCAAAGGAATGGAAGCATTCCCCACAACTTATTCTTAAGTATGTCCGATTTGTAGATTTTACTTTGGTCTAAAGACTGTTGGCTGAACTCCATGATTTGGCTTTGTGAAAAATGAAGCCCACTTCACTATGAGAAAATGTACAACTTTCAAAGAAACTAGGCTCTTAATCCAGGAGTGGCAGTGGAGAAAACAGAAGATGCAAAAATGCATTTATGTCAAACTATGACAATTTGTAAATATCAACTTTAGTCACTGGAGGTTAGATATTCATTTCAAATATATTCCATGTTTTTTCCAAAAGCATTAGCAAAACATTTCAGGTCAGGTCAGAAGACCTGTGTTTTAAGTACCACTCCATACTCAACAAAAATAACAGATATTAACATTTTTTTCCACAGAGAGATGAATGATCAATGAAGACAGCATTATATGATGTTCCCTATGTCTGAGTAAAGGGTCTGCCTGCAGATTTAATCTGTTCAATATCTCAAATCACTAGTTAAAAGACCTCAGACAGCAATCAATCAACAAAATTCTTGATCTGTTAATCAGCAGGCGCTAAGGCATAAGGCTAACTTTGTATTAGCCAGTCTGCATATTGATGTAGCAAAATTATGTCAAATCAGTTTCACACAGGCACCACCAAAAATGCTACCCCTCTAGTTTCTTACTGCTTCTGTGACAATTTAAACCACAATCTTTGCTCATAACATTCTCTGGCTAAACTTGATAATTGTACTAAGTCATGTTTTACTTTATTGTGGTTTACCGAATAAGTCACAGTCATTTGGATACATGCACATTAAGTCAATATAATCACAATATTGCTTACGCTATTGTGTCAAGTCAGTTATTGTACATCCCTCTTAATTAATCTTTGGTTTTCTTACATAGAGCTCACTTTTGCAAAATGCTCATTATGAGGAAGGAAGGAAGGAAGGAAGGAAGGAAGGAAGGAAGGAAGGCAGGAAGGAAGGCAGGCAGGAAGGAAGGAAGTTAGTTCTGAGATAGTCTTGCATTCTTCTATACTTTTCAATCTCTTCAGGCAGATAGAGGATTCACAAATATGGTTTATTTAGATTACCAATAGAGATGAGAACCAGTAGCAAGACTCCGCTCTCAATTTCATTTTACGCATAAAGTCTAAAAAACAATATGATAAATTAGTACTCATACAGAGCTTCTGAATATTTATAGCATTCCACATGCATAAAGCTTTATGAATAACCTTGAAAAAGAGCAATATCAATTTATCATTATAATTCATATGCGAAACGCTGAGACTGAGAAAAGGTAGTTTGCATGAAGCCATTTATGCTGTAATCCTATATGAATTTACTTGAATAAAGCTGAATAGGACTGTGTTGTTAATGATTTCACAGCTAAGATAGAATGGGAACTAGAGGACTTCCCACTTCACAGCATAATTTCTTAAGCACCATGCTGCATCAGCTCACATTAACTTGCACAATGAATTCACAGCATCTGAGGTTTAAAATCAAACATCTGAAGTCGAAACACGGTACTTTAAGCATAGAACTCTTGAATAATGCTTTAAAGAAGCTTCAAAATATAGCTCATTAATTTTCTAAAAATTGGTGTTGGAAAGAAAAATGGTTCCCAAAGGGCTCAAACAAATTGCATAAACTTTTTTGGGGGGGGAGGAAACTTAAGCTATTAAAACTGCCTCCAAACACAGAATGAGAAAGTATATAACACGGCCTTTGATGATGCTCATAACCGATTTGAATCAGCACACATTAACTTAAAGAAACCAGGGGGGAACTGAAGTAACTTAAATATTAACCTCTCCAGTTTGAATCAATATTCCCACATCATATTCCACACCTGCAAAGAGCTGAATGCAGCAACAGCTGACAACATTTGACTTGTCATGGTTTTCTGTTTGCAAGAAGATCATCCCTTCCTCATCCTGCAATAGCTGGCACACCCCAGTCTCCAGCGACTACTCCCTCTACACTAGCCTCTCATTTCGTGAAGACAGAGGTCTCCTTTTTCAACCTGTGTATATTTTGCACACTAAAATTGACAATATTTTCTCATTTAAAACCCTGTCAAGAAACCCATGAACAAATGCTTCTTTGGCTAAACAAGGTATATAAAAATTAGTGTTTTACGTACATAATCTATACCTGAAACCCTCAACTAATTTCAGTGTCCTGGAGTCAACAATGTTATTAAAGTTTAATTAAAAGCAAGCACTTAATCTTAACGAAGCTATGACTACCCACCCTAACCCTAACCCTAAATAATCTGAACATCAAGTGCCCCATTCAATACCTTAGTAGAATCAACTCTCCAGAAAAACTTAACAATGAAGCCAAATGTCTCTCATTTAGCTCAGAATTATTTCACTTTTGCTAATATCTATTAATCAAACAAACAAAAAGAAATACTCCTCTCCAAGATCATTTTAAAAATCATTGTCCTTCCCCTGTTAATACCCCAGACAATAATTTCTTATATGATTTTAATAATAGCCCACCAAATCTCAATAGTAAGGTAGGAAGTGAACCCCACCACCATCATCCCACATATCACACCATCCAGGATTTCTTGTCCATATCACTTGCATGGAATGTGGAGACTTACAAATCTAGCGAATCCCTCTTTGACCTTTTTACATGCCTTGGAAAATCATCACCCTGACCTATGCAAAAACAGATACTGTTGGGGAAAATATTGTATCGGATGAGAGTAACCCTGCCCAGATAAATGTATTGCAAGGTTACCTGGGTGCTGTAACAGTAGCCCAAGATTTCCAGAAGCTTGGGAAAATCCAAAAGGAAAAAATAAAACAACACAGAGATATTATTACTCTCTACTTTCCCCCTGAATAAAAACTAACCCAGAAGAATCATTATCACTGTTTGTAAAGGTCTCCCCACCCACCCCCCAAAAAACCGATCCCCTCTGGAGCACAGATCAAAACCACCATTACTTTAAAAAAAAAGATTGCAAATGCCTCCATCCTATCTCTCTGCCTGTTTATAAAAAGAGTAGCTAAACTGGGGTAACAGATAACTAATCTGTGATAACGCTACTGATCAAACAGGGGGAAAGAACTGGCTGCTGTACCCTCAAAACTTCTGATCGTCTAAATAAAAATAATTAAAAGAGCTTGTTTAACAGGCTCTTCTCCTTCGGCTGCAAAAAGAAAAGAAGATAGAAAAAAAAAAAAACCTACATTTTTCCCCCCCCTCGTCCTCTGTCCACTCTAAAATTCTCAAGATCTCACAAAGTCACTCGGGATGCGTTCCGAAAAGAAATACTGTACTCTCATCCCTCCAGTCCCAAACGGACAAAAAGAAAAAGAAAGACCACTAAGCCCGATCAAAACAAAAGGAAAAGACAAGAAGACCCTCTTCTCCTCCTCTTCTTCTTTGCACGATCGCCCTTCGCTCCCGAACAGCCCTGATCGTGCCCTTCGCCGTCAAAAGGATACTCACGTTTTGGTTCTGGCTACTTTTTTCTCCACTTGACCATTTAGAAGCAGAAGTTGGGGGTGGCTCCCAAATAGGAAAAGCGAAGAGATTTCTTTTTTTAGGGGATCCTGCAAAATAAAATGGAAAGGAGCTCCAAGGGGGGGATTGCTTCAGACTCCCAAGCTCTGCTTCCTTTGAACCCCCCAAGGAAAGAAAAAAACCCCTCCCACTTCTTCCTGCTCCCTTTTGGGCTCAATCAGACCAGACTGACTGCCTTTGTCTGTCTGACAAGCGCCATGTTGATATCAACATCCAAGCTCCCACCTGCTGCCGCTGTGAGACCCTGGGACTTGTAGTTCCTTCTTCCCAAGGGGAAGAAGATAAAGTGGGCCGTCTAGGACTACGACTCCCAGAGACCTGCGCTAGAACTGCCACACCAATGGCTAACAGTAAACGGGAGAGTGATGATCAGGGCGAGAAAAAACTACGATTCCCATCGTGCTCTCCAGGTCGGCGAAGATATGGCTGCTCGTGACATCATTTTGCGGTGGGCGGAGTGAATAAGAGGGCGTGCTCCAGAAATGGACTACATTGCCCAGGATGCAAGAGGTTTAGACCAGGAAAGAGAAGCATGGTCCGCCGTATATAGAGCCGGGTAAAGCATGAAGCTGGTGAGTTGGGTGCACTATTGATGGGTTTTGATGAAGGAGGTTTAAAGACGGACACGAGGGGCCACTTAATTTCTCTCTCTTGTAGTGCAACTCTGAAAGGAGGGTTTGCTGTTTCTCACGATTCATTTTGTTAGGGAAGCTTTAATTTGATGAGTCTCAGTTGTTGGGTTCTTTTTTCCAGCCAACTCAAATGTATTGTTTTTAAGTGTTGTTAGTTTGGTTAGTTTTATTTACAACTCCTGCCCCCACCCACCTATATAAACTCTTTGGATATTTCTGGGAGAAAGAATGATATAGAAATAAAAATAAATGGTAGATTCCTGATAGGCAAAAATCTTTCTTTGATTACTCTTCCTCGTGTTATGACATATTGAATTAAATGCTAAGATCTATAGAGGTTATGCAGCATTCAACAGTTGCATCAGTTTCTGCCTCTTCCTATGTCCCCAGTAAGAGTTGCAGTTCACAATTTAAACTGCCACACAATATAAAAGTGCACTATTAAATACCAGATACATTGCCTCTCACCTGTTGGATGTCCAATGTCATTCTTTACTATTGCATTTATATAACTTTTTTTTTCCTCTTGAAAGCTCCAAGTACATAAGATTCTGCAGCAAATACTACATAAACAACTCAGTGATATGGGTTGGACTAAGAGAGAGTGATAGTCCAAAGTCAGCAAGTGAGATCTATGGTTGAGTGGAGATTTGAAACTTGGTGCCCCTGGTTCAAGTCTACATTTAGCTTCTATACTGTGTTGGCTTCCTTGCCAGCAGGATTGCAAAGGTTCTGGCTTTCTGATTTTGATGTCACAAGCTTTTTTATTAATTGCATATCAGAATTATTTTGAAATCAAGTATACTTTCTTCCTTTAAACAAAATCTGATGCTGCGGTCATTGTGGACATCTCCTTTGTTCTCTGCATTGTATAAATAACACAAAGGCTGAACATGCAAATAAGACTACAAATCTCTGGAAGCCTTATGGGAAAACTATCATGGCATAACATGCCCTTCATTTTACATTTGATATTAAAAAGCATCAGTTATCATTTTAGTAATAGTAAAATGATGTTGTTCAAAGCTAGACAAAGCACATCCTTACAATATATATCTGTTATATAAGGTTTCTGGGGTAAGAGAATAAAATTTTAGCCGGTTACTTGTATCTCATGCTGTATTTGCTTTGTTTTGTTTTATTTTATTGTTTAATAGAAATTTTGAAGTGTCAGATCAGATGATAAAAAAGTTAACATTTCAGGTTTGCTTATTTGGAAAATTTAGTACTTTTAAACATTTTTAACAAAATATTTCTTGATTGCGTCATTTTTATTCCTTTTTAGTGAATTAAAACCTTTTAGGGAATTGAGACCAACACATAACATTCATTGCATTTTAAAGAGACTAGCATATTACACTTTTGCTCAAGAATAGGCTGTTCACTTATAGCACAGGTGTCAAACTTGCCACATCACGTTGCTGTCACGTGACATTTCGCAATGTTTTTCCCCTTCGCGGAGCTGGGATGGGTGTGGCCTGCAAGTGACGCATCCGTCCCATGGGCGGTCAGTTTGACACCCCTGATAGTCTTATAGTATTTATTAATTGTAATTTTTTTGTTGAAAAGCTTCTTGGCAAGCTTATAGACACCAAGAAAGGGATAGAGGAAGGAGGAAAGGAAAAAATGAAGGAGGAGGCACTGGTTCATAAAATGTATAATGTTTGTTCATTTTGATTTATTTTTCACTGCTTTAAATAGGACTTGCTCCCAATCCTGAATATGGACAGGATTGCAGCCTAAATGTTGCATCGCTTTTAGTGGCTGCATTTTAAGCCTGCGAGGGTAAACATATTATGCCTTTCCATGTGTTACTTATTTGAAATGTAATATATGATTGCTCCCATTTTGTGGTTCTTAGTGGCTTATGAATATCTAAAATCCAATTTAAAATTCAATATAGTGATTAAAACCATTGAAATATTGCCAGCATAACAATATCTAAACTAAAAGAGCTTGGTAGAAAGATGTTAGAAGCCGACCTCTAAGTGCAGCAGTCTAAACTCCACAATGAATTGTTTTTTCTACAGAAAAAGCAGAGTTAGCTACACTATAGATGTTACTTGTATCTGTAACCTATACCATAATACTGTAAACCTGTAGGTAATTGGCTTTAAGCCATATGAGTTTAGACACATCGTATTTCACACCATCAGTCGTGTCCAGAAATCAAATGGTAACTAGTGTATCTGTTTAATATGGGAATGATAAATAGTATTATTGTTTTTTATTGTTCAAAATTTCCATAAACCATAACAGAACAGAAAAGGGTGAAAGGTTTTGTTTTGTTTTTGTTTTCATTAACTTGTTTATTGTTTCAGTACTACCCGTGTTTTCCCGAAAATAAGACCTGTTTTATATTTTTTTGAACCCTGAAATAAGCGTTTGGCCTTATTTTCAGGGATGTCTTTTTACTTTGGGGTGCATGGAGCAAAACGGGGCTCCTCTTGCCGTCTTACCTGATTTCCAGCTCTGTCTCCCTAACCCTAACCAGAGGAAATGGCGGGGACCGGCTGTGCATGCGTTTAAATATTTTCGGGAGGGCCTTATTTTAGTGCATGTTCTCAAAAGCCTGATTGGGCTTATTATCAGGGGATGTCTTATTTTAGGGAAACAGGGTACCTTCCATCTGAAACTGATTTAACCTATAAACTGGCTTAGTTCCTAACATATACATTTCCACTTTAACTTCATTTGGCTTTATAATTGGGCTTTTTTTCTCACATGCACACACACATACATACATAAATACATAAATACATACATACACACATACATACATACATACATACCTGTATACACACATTTGCTGCCCATTGAATATGTTGCTGATATGGGAATCCCTGAGTCTGAAAGACTTGAGCATTCTTCCTCCTCATCTTCTTCTCAGAAGATGGGTAATGCTTTCTCCTTAATGTCAGTGTACCATGTCCACATCTATCAATAGCTCTTAATGGCTCTGTACCCTTTCCTCTTTCTTGTTCATGTCTCCAAATACAAGAGTGCACAGATATTGGAAACATTCAATGAAAGATCAAGATTCTTGATCTTATTTCCTGACCTTTTTCTCCAGCTAAAAGTTTAAACAATAGGAGTTGCTCAGGTTTGGGAGCAACATATCTCAAATTTCACTGCTTCTGCTAACAGGTAAAGGTTCCCCTCGCACATATGTGCTAATCGTTCCCGACTCTAGGGGGCGGTGCTCATCTCCGTTTCAAAGCCGAAGAGCCAGCATTGTCCATCTCTGTGGTCGTGGTTGGCATGACTAAACGTCGAAGGAGCACGGAATGCTGTTACCTTCCCACCAAAGGTGGTCCCTATTTTTCTACTTGCATTTTTACATGCTTTCGAACTGCTAGATTGGCAGAAGCTGGGGCAAGTAACGGGAACTCACCCCATTACATGGTGCTAGGGATTCGAACCGCCGATCTTTCTGATTGACAAGCTCAGCGTCTTAGCCACTGAGCCACCGCGTCTGGCAAATCTGTTTCTCTATATTTCTGGATCTTTTCGAATGATCTTTCTCTATTTGAACATCTAATCCCAGAAAAATGGACTGAGTTCCATTCCTATTCAGAAACTGAATGGTAAACTGTTCATTGCAAACCATCATAGCATTTTGCTGCCACAAATACAATTGTACTCAGAGTGCATTCTGCATTTCAGTGGCTTCTGTTGCTGTTCAGTGAATATAGCACAGCTTGATGAATATTAATTTAAGAAATGTTAATTATACTCTGGTAGGCATAAATAGCCATAAATCAAACAAATAACAGAACGGGAATAACAGAGTTGGAAGGGATTTTTGAGGTCTTCTAGTCCAACCCCCTGCTCAGACAAGAAACTCTCTGTACTATTTAAGACAAATAGTTGTCCAATCTCTTCTTAAAAACTTCCAGTGTTGGAGCATTCACAACTTCTGGAGGCAAGTTGTTCCACTCATTAATTGTTCTAGCTATCAGGAAATTTCTTCTTAGTTCTAGGTTGCTTCTCTCCCCTCAAACAGGAGTGAACCGAAGTCAAAGTAGATGCTGAGAAATACTGCACAATAGTAAAATTATTTTTGTATGTATCCAAAGGAATGGGTTAAGAATTATCATCACCTAGTAACCTTTAAATAGTATTAAAATATTAAAATGGTATTTAAACATGGTAAGGATTCTTAGATAGTATTAAGTCTCCTTCCTGTTTCTGATTGTGTACTATTATCTTTTCCTAATGCTAGATATTTAATCTGATTTTTTTTTTTAGTACTGTTTGTCTGGGCATCCGACTTTACCATGCAACGTACTCAAGTTCAAATCTACCACCATCATGTTGGACTGTGGGCTCGATATGACCTCAGCTCTCAATTTTCTCCCACTGCCGTTGGCCCAGAGGTACACTGCACTCTTGAGTGTGTCTGTGTTTTTCCACACTCCAGTTTTACTCTGTACTGGATACACTTTTAGGGAGAGAAGGGATTAATTTAATGTGGGACTGAAGCTGGGGTGGAGAAGGCCTGGGATGTGTTATAGGAAAGGAGTTTGAAATGAACATGCAGTATCATCTGATAGCATAAAGAGTTTGTCCACTTAAAAATTCCCTTTATCAAAATAACATTCTTTGGCTCAGTAGATGGAAAGCATTTTATGGATTTATCGATTTGGTTTCCAGATAATTTATTCTAAGCTTCACTAAAATATTGCAGCAGCAGCTCAGCACAAGTGAGGTCAGAACTGTCCTCTCTTTGGCTTCTT